TTGAGTATTTTGATTTGTGAGGGAACATGTTTGTCATCTACTGACAGTTTTGCCCCGTCTCTTCATCAATCAAGCCATGGGTGTGGTGAACAACAGAGTGTGATGTTGATTAAGACAGCTCCTCAAAGATAGGGAGAACAGAAAGACAGAAGGCAGGGAAGTATAGAGGACATAGAGGAAAGGTGATGTGAAACACAGAGTGGGACTGACATGACTCTGGAAAGTACAAGCTCGAACATAAACCTTAGGTTATACGCCATATTGAATTTAACACTGATGAAAACAAGACTATGAGGGATAGACTTACAGTCTTTTACAGTGCCAAACACTGTACAAAGATCCTAGATCATATAATTTTTGGCAACACACAACTTTCAAAACAGTTTTATGGAGTTTTTGTATACTGAACTTTTTTTTCTTTTTTTCAGAAAGACATTTCATCGGCTGAACAATAGTATGCTGTTAGACAACAGTACAATCCATTGAACACCCTGTACCTTTATAAACTATTAATTATAATCTAAATATTTTAAATATTTAATAATAATAATTATTATTATTGTTGTCGTTGTTAACATATCTTGTACAATAGGTTAAGCGCCTATTTTCACATATCCTTTGTGTAAAATAAATAAATACCTCTCATCTATATAATTCTTAAAAATACACTATAAAAAGTCAATTTTTGAAAAATAAAATGTAAAAAATAATCAATAAAATAAAAAAAAAACATTTTTGAAAAGAGTTTTAGACCCTAGTTGCTGAAATTGTCGTGTAGAGTGGAAAAGTCCACCATTACCAATTTATTCTAATACTTTGCTGTCAAAAGAATTTCAAAATGTTTATGGCATGCTGCTTTAGTTTCCAGCTTGACAGTCTAATGATTGATGATTTGCGTTCAACTCCTGTTATGTTTTTCTCTCTTTCGTTTAGATTAGTGCTGGGGGAAAAAAAGGTGAAAAATGACAAACAGGATCAATAAAAATCTCTGTCACCCATTTTCCCAGTGACGGTCCACAGCAGGCAAACCACAGATAAAATAATTTGCACATTAATGCAAACATTACGCCTTTAATTAGTTTGGGTGGCTCCAGAATAATGAATTAGGCTGTCTGCTACTACTTCATCCCTGTCTCTGATTGGCACAGGTATTAATTATTTATTAATCGTGATAGGAAGGGATGCACTCTTGTCTCCTAAATGAACTAGAAGGCAGGCACCTGGATGCCATTTGTGACACCCCAGGCCTACAGTGAATAACATAACCTGCTCCAATGATGAAGAAAGAGTGCAGTTTGTCTGTCGGATTGATAGACATACTTAACCGTATCCAGGGGGCTGAGAACTGAACAGGACCCCACATGGGCTAGTCAAAACATTCCAGCTAAAAGCTACCATTGGTCAATATACATTTTACTACTCTCCACAAATAGGGACATCAAGCAGAATCGGCCAGACACGGCTCCTTGTGAAATAAGAGCCGCGGGGGAACCACGGGCATCTCCTTGGCATGGAGGGTGATTAAAACATCAGGTATATAAAGATGTGGCCAATGAAATATCATCAGCCTGACTTAGAGAGAGAGAGTGTGTGTGTATGAGAGAGAGAGTCAGTCTTTATTATTCTTTCTCTGTGTGTGTGTGTGTGTGTGTGTGTATAAAGAGTAAAAGCCGTAAAAAGCACGTCCCCAAAATGGTATGAACCCCTCTGGTATATGACTGAACCCAGGCTACATTTCTCATTCAAATGTTGATTAAATTGCATTAATTGACCACAGTGTTTAAATAATGTAATTTAACATAGAACATTCTGAATTTAATAAACTCTTTGAATGAATGCAGGGAATTAATACATTGAATTAAGTTCTGAGTTCCTATTTTCTGTTTCAAACGTAGCTTACTTGAACATTCAATCATGGTATAGAAAAAAAAATTGGGGGTTTACGTAATAGTATTTAACTTTTATTACTCTGTATACAGCTTTAATACTGAGTTACTGTTTTATTACTGAGTATTAATCCGTAGGTTTTGCCTCTTTTTCGCCATCTGTTTGAAAACTTGCAATTGCAGCTAGTTGCGGAATTATCTTCCTTGCGTGGGTTGTGTGGCGGCACAGCTCCAGCGTGGATGAATCTAATGTTTTGAGGAGTATGTGTGGCAGTCAGTCACCGCACCGGTGTGGATATTGTTCTTTGCTCTTTATTATTCTTTCTCTGTGTGTGTGTGTGTGTGTGTGTGTATAAAGAGTAAAAGCCGTAAAAAGCACGTCCCCAAAATGGTATGAACCCCTCTGGTATATGACTGAACCCAGGCTACATTTCTCATTCAAATGTTGATTAAATTGCATTAATTGACCACAGTGTTTAAATAATGTAATTTAACATAGAACATTCTGAATTAATAAACTCTTTGAATGAATGCAGGGAATTAATACATTGAATTAAGTTCTGAGTTCCTATTTTCTGTTTCAAACGTAGCTTACTTGAACATTCAATCATGGTATAGAAAAAAAAATTGGGGGTTTACGTAATATTCCAAAATTCTTACTAACTTAAAAAGAACAAGTAATATATCTCGAGATATATATATATATATATATATATATATATATATATACATAT